ATGCACATCTGCCGGTTCTCGAGTTTGCGTATAACAACGCCACGCACGCCGCAACAGGGCAAACTCCTTTTTTCCTCTGTTACGGTCGCAACCCACTCACGCCTCAGAAACCAACAGTACCCGCCACGGTGCAACCCGCACATGACTTCATTTCCACTATGCACCAATTGTGGGAGCGCACGCATAAACGTCTTCTGACTATCCAGCAGCAACAAAAGAAGCCCGCTGATCGGAGTCGCAACGATCATTCCATCCAGATTGGCGATCAGGTGCTTCTGGATACACGCAATCTCGACATTAGCCATCTTCCGTCTAAGCTCCGACCTCGCTTCTGCGGACCTTTTCTCGTCGAGGCGCAGGTCACTCTAGTAACCTTCCGCTTGCGTTTACCAGCAACCTGGAGGATTCACAATGCCTTCCATGTTCAACTTCTCAAGCCCTATCGGGACCCAAACACGGTCTTCAAAGGTCGCCAGCCGCCGCCGCCACTGCCAGTGATCGTTAATGGGGAACCCGAGTACGAAGTCGAAGCCGTTCTGGCGCACCGACGACGACTTAGCGGCACCTTAGAGTTCTTGATTCGTTGGAAAGGCTATGATCCTTCCGAGGATACCTGGGTACCTGAACACGACATGGATAACGCCCGCCGTCCTCTACAGGACTACCTTGTCAAGCAGGGTGTTACTTCTACCACCCAGCTTTGAGGGGGGGAAGTGTGAGAGGACGTCCCCGTTATAATATTTTCTCACTATTATATTTTTCCGTTATCCCATTTTCCCTTTTCTCCTCTTTATTTTGGTCTTTATCTCATCTCAATCGGCCTACTATTCTATTTTCTAGAGCCTTCTATTTATTTCTCATATTTCCTACTTTTCCCACCGACATACCTATTATACGGCACCGACAGCGCCGACAGTGGTGTATACGGTGTAATCTGGGCGTAATCCCAAGTGCCAATAGACTTGCGTGCTTATGCGCACTTGTTATTGTAGTATCGGGAAGGGTGTGTTCCCGAAGGTTCGTTTTATCTCGTTTATCCTTGTACTTTCCAAGAATAAATAGGCCTTGTATTCAGTTTTAGTGACAAGTTTCGATTGAGAATTCGATCCTGTGACAGATAGGAAGTGAAGAATGAGCTAGCTTGGCTTAGACCCCTCCCTAGACCCCCTTGGGGTGCAGCCACCTTCCCCATGGCAAAGAAGGGTGCACCACCATGGGTCTTTGCCCATGTGGCAATGGTTGGGGTTTCCAACCAATTAGACAATAGACAGCAAGGATAACAATGCATAAATATCACAAACCTGAGTTGTTGCATTGGTTGGAATTTCAAGGAAGAGTCGAGTTGGATTTAAGTTGGTTGATTCTGATTGGTTCTATTTCCAACCGGCGGCGGAAGTTCCGTCGACTCACTTTGTGTAAGTATGCTCTGATTGGTTGGGCAAGGGTGATGTTTGAACTTACGTGGGTTGTTTTCAAACCTATCGCTTAAGTTCTGTCACAACTGTACAGCAGAGTTCTGATTGGCTAGTTTTCCAATCAAGTCAATTCCAAATTTCTCGCTTCCAATCAAACTCCAACCAATCATATTTCTCCCCTTGTTTCCCCCTCACAGCTGGTTCGATGTATCGAGACCAGGTGGGGGTTGGGTCTGAATGCTACACCAAGAAAATCGCGAAAGGATCCGTAGGGTTGAATTCCGCTCTGCCAACTTCTCCGGGGGACTGGGCGCTAAGCATGGTGTCGACAATCCCAGAGTCCGAGTCACTAGTATGTCCGTAAGCTTAGAGGGAGGACGAAAAACAGAGGCACATGCGAAAGCCGCGTGGCGACAGACGGCAGATTCCTCAGCCGTAGCAAAAGGCAGCTGATACAGAGTGTGAAAAAGGTGAAAAAGGCCGAGAGGACAGCGAGAGCGACGAAAAAAGGGGTGTGCAGCGGAGGAAAGAAGTGGTAAAAGAAGTGGTAGGAGCAGCAAGCAGGGGACCACGGCAAATTGGCAAATTTGACTGTGCTGTCGGGCCAGTCTCCCGACCCGTCGAGCGACGATGGGACCGATCCATCGCACCATGCAAACTCGAACGACATCGAGAATTTTGTCGAGACAGACTTTGGCATGGATTGTTTGACTGTGCTGCTCCTCCCAGCTGCTCACTCATGAGTGCTAGGCTCCGAAAACCTCGAATCAAATCACGATGAGTTGAAGGTTATATGACAGGTGTCGCGTAAGTGCGCATGAGAGGCAGCAATACATTACACTAGGTAGCGTCGCCTAGTGAACGGTAGCGGCCTCGGTAGCGCTACCGGGGTTTGAGCTCTTAGCACGCGAAGCCCCGCGTGCTGTACTCGACCGCCCGGGACCGAGCTTGCCAGCCTGTCTAGGGCGGGAAGCAGGCTGACGCAGCTCCAAGTCTCCGAGCTGAATCAAGGACCTCCTAACGCAGCACTCTCCCCGCGTGATGGGGACGTGGACCACCGGGCTCACGAGGGCGAAATCGCGCGCATCGGCGGAAATCACGTTTCTCTCAAAAGAATGGGGAATGATCATATTCGGGCCTTGGGTTAGCAAAAAGATGGCCGGCTTGGGGCCTCGTGAGTCGCGACCCTACGAAGAATTCCCGAAGCAATCCACAAGCCTAGGCAGCTAGGCCGAGCTCGCCTGGTCACCACCTGCTGGCTTGGGTTTGACGGATTTCGCTAGCGCTCTGGTTTACGGGAACAGCGATCGTCAGCCCATTCACAATGGGCAGTACATATACTTCAGAGAAATGAGTTAGAAATAAACATTTTATCCCAAAAAAAATATCGCAGTGGTAAAAAAATAAAACCCAATCGGATGGCATAAAATCGGGGAGGCATCAACCCTAAACACATGCGACCAGGTGTTTAGGGTTGATGCCTCCCTAACCAAATTCATGCCCATATGGGGTTTATTTTTTTTGCCAGCTTGGCGTTGAGAAATCCGTCACCTTATGTGATCAGGTCTGACGGAGCACGTGGGTGAGGCCCAAAATTGGCTAGAGACAGGTCCGGAGCAGGTTCGAAACATTGCGACACACGAGGCCCCAAGTTGGCTACATTCCTAGAACTTTGGGGCCCCAGTCTGATCATTTCCCCAAAAGAATCGACCCGAATTTCTCCCCCCTCGCCACGTGGGCGTTTTTCTTAATTGAATGGACCGCCTTTCCCTCCGCCCCCCAAAACCCGTTTTTCCTACCCGTCCACTCCGAAATTCGGGCAGCCGCGTGTACTCCCGTGATATCACAAACAGTCACGATTCCTACATACGAAGCTACTTCCACACTTTCGACACGTGTGGTTCTTTTTATTGGTCGAAATATTTGTGACTGCACTTGCGCGCCAGAGTAATTTGCGTTGGAACCGTTTGGGTGTGTCAAGGCTTGGGAGTGATGTACCAAGGAGTGGGAGGGTGCTGACGATAACGTCCATGCACTGTCATGTATACTAAGGCGACCTATCAACGATCATGCACGAGCACGATTTCAGTCCATTAGCTGAGGAAGGAGACGATTGTGTGCATAAACCTTATACTCACCTTCAAGGTCTTGTCTTGAGTTCGCGATGAACCTTTCAGCCACATCACAACCCTCCAAGCTCCCTCCTCTCGTGCCCTTTCTCATCATATTCCTTCCAACCTTTGTGTTTCCAGTAGTTTGTTGCTAGTAATCGTCATTTCCTCTTAGGCTTAGCAAATCGTGTTAGCTTTTCGGTGGCCTACTCCGTACAGTGATTGTCATTGATATTCGTAGTAAAATTGTCCTCGGTAAACGGCCGGAGGAGTCGGGCCATGAGGATTCCAACGACGGAGATTCTCACGATTCTAGCGTGAAACTGGTTACCGACGAGCACGGGAAAGACAAGAGGAAGGGGAAGCAACGGAAAGGACCAAAAGAACAGCCTAGCACCTCCCCCTTCAACTTCAAAACTAACGTCGTGTTGAAGGAGGTTTTGCCCCCCGTGGACGACATCATCACCGCCGTCACCAAAGGTCGAGGACCTCTTGCGCAAACTTAAGGCTCACACGGCCCCAACATCAAGAGTCCGCACTTCCCAACGAAGGCCTTGTACAAATCCCTAGGACAGAACGCCTTCGTCAGCGCAATTGACGCGATGCCCATTCTAGATGGTTACGAGCTCAGTACGGCCTTGATCGACTTCCACAACATGTGAGTGAATATTTCCCGGCGGTTCCATATATTCTTGCATTACTGCATGAGGCCTAACACTAGCTTTCCATGTCTGATTTTACAACCCGCGCAGTTTGCTGAGCATCAGGCACCCCAAACAGGCAGACTTGGGTTGCGCTCGACACATGAGCGTATCTGATGGCGGCGAGTCAACAGGTGCTCTTCACTGGATATGAAGGCGGCTCTATCATTGTTTACAACTACGTCCTTGTCGTAGTAACAACAATGTAAGCAACGCACCCACACTCTCTCTGTACGCGCTTAGCAGTGCATCGTCACGACGTGATCCGCAACACCTAACATTTTTGTTTGTTATTTGGCAGTGAGCCTAGGCATTTTAGCCTTGTCGTTATCAAGGAGCGTGGCAGAGCTAGAACCGATGCTCTAAAATCAGGGAACTCGAAGCTCTCGGTTGCATACCTCTTCAACTCGATTGGTGATCACCCGAACATGGCACCAGTGGTGTTCTCCGAGATTCAAACGTGAGTTGCAAGCCCCTGGACCACGTGCGTCTTCATAATGTGCTAATCATCTCATGGTGGTTAACCTTCTTTTTGACGCATTACTGCATGCATCGTTGTTTTGCTCAGGCTTCTCAGACTGGCGCTACAAGCCAAGGAGCTCGGCCTCTCTGCCAGCGAAATCAAGCAGCGGCTTGATCCAATGCCTTGCATCCCGATGGCAGTAAGCACTTTGGTTGCCGTGCATCCTGTTATACACTAACCCCATCATTGCAATGTTTTGCACCGTCGCTAATATGGTGTGTTTCGCCGTTTGCAGTACTATCAGTGCCCGATGCAGGCCAACCTTGTAGACTGTGAAGTCTACGTCTGCATCTATGCTAAGGAGCTGGTTGCGAGCGGCTTCGCAAATCTGGACGATGGGCTGCCCGCATTGCCCTATGGTGCTGGCCTCTGCCAAAGGGGGATGCGTGGGGATATTGTCAAACACGCACTCAAGCGGTTACTCCCAACCCTGAAGCGGGCTGGAATTTCGGTGCCACACCAGGATCCGCTGTTGAGCAAGCGCGTGAATAACTCGGTGTCGCCGGAGATTGCCGAACTCGATGCGAAGCTGCGCGATGCTGTCGGCGACATCTACAACGTCACGTGCTGCATGGGGTATTGTGAGAAGGACATTCAGAAACTTGAGTTCCTTGTTGAGTCTCTCACCAACGAACTGTCGACCACCCGCAATGATCTTGCCGCGATGCAGGCACAATTTGCAGCCTCACCACCACCGGCGCAGCTGCAGACTGTTGGTGCAATGGGTGGAGCCAGCGCGAGACCCGTCGACCCCTCTACCCACGATGACCTTGATACGACCGCGCACATTGAGCAGCAGGGGGATTCGCACCAGATACATGCTGCCCTCGGAGTTGTCAACGGGCTACTGCTGGGGCCGACCGGCGATGCCTCAACTCCGACTCGTCATGGTGCGCGTGCGGGTGCACCTTCGGAGGATCAATATGGGTGTATGGGCCCGCCGCCAGCTCACACACACTTTGTCGAGGGATCGAGGGAGTGGGTGGATCGAGGGAGTATGCGGGTGTTAGGCTCCTCCTTGACGGGACTTGGCAAGCGAAGATTGTTCCTGAGCCCGGGTCATCAAGGACGCTTATTCTCGGCAACTTCACTGACCAGCAGCAAGCGGCCCGCGCGTTTGCTGCAGCTGCAGCCGTGATGAGGCGGAGTAAGCCACCCAGGGGTCATGTGTGGCAGCTCACCGGAGAGGAGATGAACCTGCTGGATGGCTTTACACACGACATCGACCGGCAGCTGACTACCGCACGCGTTTGGGGATGGTGGGAAAGGTGGCGTGTGGAGCTTGCGTCCCTCGGTGGTGCTAATCCCGCCCCGGCACCCCCTGCGATTGTGGCTGCAGCGCCAACCCCACCCGGAGCTGCTCCAATCCCACTTGCCCCGGCAAATGCAGGCACCGCCCCTCGTGTCATGGCTCTTGCACCTGCACAGCCAACCCCCCCTCTTGGAGCTACTGCTGTGCTTGTCAGGCCAACTCCTATGCCTGTGGGGCTTACTCCCGGGCCACCAGCCCCATCTACGCTTGCCACAATGACCAATCCCCCTGTGCAGGCTGATGTAGTGGCGCGCTACAACGTGACAACCCAGGAGCCAGGTATTTGTTTGGTTTCATCCCTTCCCATTGCTGTTACTGTATGTGGTGTCCACCAGCTCCGGTGGCAAAATGCCACGGATCATGCGCCAATGCCCCACAATTATGACCCAAGCTTAGACCACCATGATCGATTTGAAGGCATCACTCAACTGTACATGACGCGTGGTGGTCCCGCCCGTCACACGCCAACGAATGTAATCTCACTACTGCACGTTCTGATAAGGCTGTAGCATTTTGTTATAATGTCATCATGGGGCTCATATTCGCGCATTGTGTTTCACATCGAGTTTGATTTCTAAATGTGTTTCACACAACAACTACAATCGTTGGTGATATTACCGAAGGATCGAAGTGAATAGGCGAAGTCGGCCGAGCCTAAACGTGTGACCATATCACTGTCAGAACTATACTCTAGGCTGTAGTGGGGCACTCCTTATGGGGTACAGCCCTGTTAGGTTTTGCCTATACAACCTTGTACTGTTCTCATTCTAGTCATTCACGTTTGTTACTTTGTGACATGGTTTTAGAGCAGGTTCCCTAGTGGGAACGTTTTTTTTAGGGCCCACCACACTATTTTCTCTTTGTTTTCCTGCCCTACCCGAAGCGCGCGTCGCGCCTACCTCATCTGCGACGTCGCACGCCTCGCCCTCCTGCCGCCCTTAGTGGCCCTACCCTTATGGCCCGTCGCGGCCTTACCCTAGCGGCCCGTCGCGGCCTTTTCCTGGCCGCGGTTCGCGGCCCGGCCCTGTCGCCGCCCTTTGCGGCCCACCCGAGCCGTCGTCGCAGCCCCTGCCCTGCCGCCTCTCGTCGAGGCCCTGCCCTGCCGCTGCTCGTCGCGGCCCTACTCCCCGCCGCCAGTCGCGGCCCTGCTCTCCGCTGCCCCGACGCGGCCCCTACCCTGCAGCCGCCGAGACGCGGCCCTGCCCTACTGCTGCCCAGTCGCGGCCCTGCTCTTCCGCCGCCTTGTTGCGGCCCTGCCCTGCCGGCTCGTCATGGCCCTACCCTGCCGCCTCATCGCGGCCCTGCCCTGCCGCCTCGTCGCGGTCCTTCTCTGCCGGCTCGTCGCGGCCCTACCTGCCGGCTAGTCGCGGCCCTGCCCTGTTAGTCGCGGCCCTGATCTACTCCCCTGGTAAGCGCCCGCCCTGCCAAGCGCGGTGCTGCACACGCGCGCCTGCTAAGCCGCACCGCCCGGCTGAGTCGTGCCGCCCTGCCGAGCCGCGCCGCCCTGTGCTCCCGCTACTGCTACGGCTACTGCTACTGCTACTACCGCCATGGCTAGTCATAGTGTTCTTACCTTCGATGCTGAGGGTCGAGCGGTAGATTTTGAGGTTTGGGTCGATGACCTGCAGCTCTTTCTGCAGTGCGACTCTAGGGTCGGAGTCTCGCTGTTCGATCACACGTCTGGCACCTCAGTTGCACCTGCTACCGATGCTGACAGTGCGGTTTGCTCGCAGTGGGCTACCCAAGACGCTGGTGCTCGCCTTGCTGTTCGTATTCACCTGCCGTCTGCTAAGCGCGCGCAACTTGGCCAATATAAGACTGCTAAGACTCTGTATGACGTTTTTGTTGCACGCTACTCCTCCCCTACCTCTGCTGCCCTCAGCCGCCTCATGCTACCGTACCTGTTCCCTGACCTAGCCGCTTTTGCCACAGTCGCTGACCTCATTACCCACCTCCGCACCAGTGTCACCCGCTACCGCGCTGCGCTTCCTTCCGAGTTATGCGCCGAGAACCCCCCCCCTTTGTACATCACCCTCTTCTACCTCGTCACCCGGCTCCCTGACTCCCTTCGCTCAGTTAGGGACCACTTTCTCTCCCTTTGCCCCACCGAGCTCACCGTTGACCTCCTTGAGGAGTGCCTCCTTGCAGCTGAGAAGAATATAGTAGGAGCCTCTCGTCGTGACTCTCGTGCCCCTTTCTTTGAGGGGTGCTCCCCCGTCCCCCTTTTGCCCTCTGTTGCTTCTGCTGCTGCTGTCGACCTAGTTGGCACCGAGTCAGTCCAGGCTGCATCTGCTCCTAGTGGGAGGCGCGGCAGCGGGAAGGGCAAAGGGGGCAAGGGTGCTGGAGGGGACGGCGAGGGCGGCAATTGTGGCGGTGGAGGAGGTGGAGGGGGTGGGGGTAAAGGTGGGGGTGGCGGCGGGAGTGGGGGCTTCCGTGGCGGTGGTGGAGGGGCCGGCGGTGGCAGCGGCAGTGGGGGTGGCGGCGGTGGGGGTGCTGGTCGGGGTGGAACTGTGCAGCGGGTAGGCCTTGGCGGTGGCCAGCGACAGCAGCAGCCGCGTTCCCGTGAGTGGTACACTGGGCGTGGGAGGTCTAGGGGTGCTGGTTTTTGCACGTATGTTCTCCGCACCGGCGAGCGCAGTGGGGAGACGTGCAGGCTGCCGCACGCCACGCACGGGTGTTTTGGCCGCCTGACTGACGCCTCGCGTGCACAGTTTCCTGACGCCAGTGAGCTCCCTCGCTAGGGTGATTTGCTTAGGTCGGGGGATGCTATCCTTGTTGCTATGTATGCTGTGACTATTAATGCTGAGGCTGAATGTTACCTGCGTGTTCTGCGCGACCCGGGCATTGAGGCTGCTGCTCTAGGCGCTAGAGAGTCTGCTGCTCTAGGTGCTACTAAGTCTGCTGCCTCAGGTGCTGTTGAGTCTGCTCTCTCAGGTTCCGCGTGGGCGTAGGTCCTGCACACTTTCACCCTTGACTCAGGTGCTTCCCGTTCCTTCTCTCGCGACTGCACAACTCTCACGCCGCTTAGTCGGCCAATGGCAGTCTCCCTGGTTGACCCCTCTGGGGGTCCAGTCCTTGTGCACTCCTCCACGGTTCTGCCGTGTCCGGCGGTCCCGTCTAGCTCCCTGTCGGGTCTTCACCTCCCCTCGTTCTCCACGAACTTGGTGAGTGGAGCTGACCTTCAGGACGTGTGGGTTGACCAATTCACTCCTGGAGGTCATTGGGTGACCCACTGTACGTGTGCTCGGACGGGCCGGCACCTGGCCACGTTTACGCGTCAGTCTGGGTCGAGCCTGTACACCCTGACTACCGTGTCTCCTCCAGTTGCTGAGTCTGGTCAGGTAGCCGCGTCTGGTCAGGTGTTTGCTGCAGCGTCCTGGTCTGGTCCTAAGTCTGCCCCCTGCTCGTGTTGCCTCCTATCTCACCAGACTCTCCTCTGGCAGCACTGCCTTGGTCACCCCTCCCTGCCTCGTCTCCAAGGCATGGCCTCCCGTGTACTTCTTGCTGATCTTCCCCGGACTCTCCCTCCCCTTCCCCTGGGGCCTGCCCATACCTACGTTCCTTGCGTCGAGGGGCGGCAGCGAGCCGCTCCTCACTCCTCCGAGATCCCTCCAACAGAGGCTCCCCTGCAGACTCTTCACATGGATGTGTGGGGCCCAGCCCGCGTCCGTGGACAGGGTCACGAGCACCGCAAAGATAAGGTCAGTGAGGTGCTGATCGACTGGATCCGTGCTGCCCGTCGCCAGCTCAGCGAGAGTTTTGGCTCAAACCTTCCTGTTCAGCGTTTGCACTCCGACAGAGGTGGAGAGTTCTCCTCTGACCTTCTGAGGGCCTTCTATCGTGCGGAGGGCATCCGCCAGACGTTCACGCTTCCAGCCTCTCCACAGCAAAATGGGATTGCTGAGCGCCGAATTGGCATGGTCATGGATGTCGCTCTTACATCCATGATCCATGCGGCTGCTCCCCATTTTCTTGTTTCTGAGTCTGAGTCTGTATGTCCTCCGTCCGTCAGGGGTGAGTGTGCTGTTAGCACGGACGTCCTTGAGGACACACAGGAAGACTTTCAGTGCTTTGCTGCTGCTTTACCTCATCTCGTGTCCATGCTGTTTGCCCCTGAGGGAGACCCAGATGCACCAGACATCCCAACTCCGCGCTCTTACGCAGAGGCGATAGAGGGTCCCTACTCCTCTCAGTGGCAGACAGCCATGGACACAGAGATGGCTTCCTGGAAGTCCACAGGCACTCACGCTGACGACGTACCCCCACCTAGGGCGAACATTGTCGATGGCATGTGGATTTTGAGGGTGAAGCGCCCGCCGGGTTCTCCGCCTGTCTTCAAGGCGCGTTACGTTGCACGAGGCTTCAGTCAGCGACAGGGAGTTGACTTCTTCCAGACCTTTGCCTCGACCCCAAAGATGAGCACTCTTTGGGTGCTGCTGCACGTCGGCGCTCAGTGTGACTACGAGCTTCACTCTCTTGACTTTAGCACAGCCTTCTTACAGTGCAGCCTGCACGAGGAGATCTGGCTGCGCCGCCCACCTGGCTTCACTTGGTCGTTTCCTCCTGGTACCTAGTGAAGCCTCCGGCGGCCAGTCTACGGTCTCCGCCAGGTGCCCCGTGAATGGCACGACACACTGAGGACTACCCTTGCGGCTCTTGGGTTTGCTCCTTGCACTGCTAACCCGTTGCTGTTTCTACGCACCGATACTACTCTGCCGCTGTTCTACACCCTCATGTGTCGACGACTTGGTCTTTGCTACTGGTGACACTGCTGTATTGGCCCACGTGAAGTTGGAGCTGCAGAAGAGACACACGTGCACAGACCTGGGTGAGCTGCGCAGCTATCTTGGCTTGTAGATCACCCGGGACAGAGCACGGCGCACCATTACTTTGACTCAGTCACACATGGTGCTGCAGGTTCTTCAGCGCTTCAACTTCACGTACTCCTCGCCTCTGTCTACTTGCCACTGGCTCTCAGCTCTGCCTTTGGATGAGTCCGTAGAGCCGAGTGGCCCGTACCCAGAGCTTGTGGGCTGCCTCATGTACCTGATGACCTGCACTCGACCTGACCTGGCAAACCCTCTTAGCATCCTGGCATGCTATGTTGCTCCTAGGAGACACAGGAAGGAGCCCATGGATGCCGCTAAGAGGGTGTTGCGCTACTTGTGCAGTACGTTGGGCATGGGGCTCGTGCTTGGAGGACGCGCTCGAGTTGTCCTCACTGGTCACACATACGCTTCTTGGGTTGACGACTTGGCTACACAGCGGCCGTCATAGGGTTACACCTTTAGCCTTGGTTCCGGCTCCGTTTCGTGGTGATCTACCCGCTCGTCTTCTGTTCTCACCTCCAGTTGTGAGGCTCAGATCTACACAGGGGCCATGGTTGCACAGGAGTTTTGCTGGCTCACCTACCTACAGACCGACTTGGGAGAGCCGCCTCGTTCTCCTCCAATTGTGTACGTCAACAACAAGGCCATGTTTGCCTTGTGTCAGGAGCATAGACTGGAGCACAGAACGAAGCACATTGCTTTGCGCTACTTCCTTGCTTAAGAGATGCAGCAGCGTGGTCAC